TTTTTTGCTATCTCAGCTACTATTTAGCTGTTTTATGGTAATTTTAGCATTTTTAGCTAATTCCAAATTTTTGGAGCACCTTTCATCTCTTTCCACTTCTACCAGAGTAGTTGTTTAAGCTTATTTCTGCCTTTTCAGCTATTTTTCAGTTTTTTTGTGCTAACTTCAGCTTTTTTTTTAAGCCAATTAACTATTTTTGTGCTTACTTCTCCTTATTTAAACCAAATCCAGCAAATATGTGTTCTTTCTGCTTTCTTCTGCTAAAGTAGACTTAGTATTGCATTTCAAACACATTTCAGCATGTTTGTAGCTAATTTCAGCTGTGTTTCAGCAAGTTCTTTTGCAATAAGCGTTCACACTACATTTTTTTGCAGGAAATGCAATTGATCTCATTTTAATGTTTGCCTTGTACTCCCTGACACAAAACATTTCCAGCTAGTTCACATGACTTTGATAGGAAAGTTGGCGCACATGATCTGCTGTTCACAGGAAGATCTTTTATTGTTTCAGAATTAACTACGCTTACATTAAATGTACTAAGTGAAAAAGTGCTGACGGCGATCTGTTTCGATGCTCAGATAGAATACAACACCTTCAAATCACGACACCACCACATGTTTTACAGTTGGGTCATTATGCTTGTATGCATCATGTAACAATCAGTTTGTTTAACTGTCTTAACTATAGCTTTTTTATGCACTTGTTACAGACATGCTTGTGTGACATAGTTGTGCAGCTACAGATGCAATTCTAAAGATGGTTCTTACTCCAGATATGTCAAACATTAAAAACTTAGTTGCTGACATGTTGGAAGTTTGTTCTATCAGAACTTCTCATTATTTCCCCTGCCAGTAGCAAACCTGCTCACTGGAAATAATTTCAAAGATTTTCTGACAAGTGCACCGTGAAAACTTCCTAATTAGTGCAGAAGCCCAAATGTTTCTTTTCATGAAGTATCAAAGTATGTTTATATTAAAAGGTATTTTTTACGCTGCTTTAATATACTGAAATGCGTCTCCTATACATACAGGAGTGGTTTCTTGGTAAACCTCTGCATGATGAAGAGTCGACCATCATCCATCACTACGCCTTTGCAGAGAATCCCTCCAACTTCAAATACCCCGACTTCGCTGCTGCTTGGGCTTTGAGCATCCCTCTTGTTGTTCGGTGCGTACGAGAAGCAAATCTGTCAGTAAAACAAGTTAATAACTACACATCTTTCAAGAATTTGTAGACAAGGGTATATTTGGAGTGCATTTCATTTCAAGACGTGTGATTTGTTTTTGTGTTTTTTAGGCTTGCGAACAAAGTGAGAGACGATCCGCTTAAATCAGACTTCACTATTGACCTGAAACACGAGGCAAGACCTGAAGACCTGTTTTTTTTTTTCCACTGTTTTCTAACTGTTTTGTTTCTTAGACTCAAGTCTATGTCAGCCTGCTACCGTCTAATCTGTTTGCATAAAAAGAGCAAAGTATGAAAGCCATCCAACCTTGAAGTAAAATCTCATTACTTTGGAGGATTGTCATGGCGCTGTTTTGAAGCTCATTTTTTATCACTGAAATTCAGTCAGAGAGGCATTGTGGGATTCCGTTGAGTTCACACAGCGTCAGATTTATCAAGCTTATCCTGAAAAAGGTGGTTCAGCTGGAGATAGCAAGAGTTATTTCCAACAGCTTTGAATGAAAAAAAAATCCTACATTTCCATTGTGTATAAATGGAAAATTATCACCAGGCTATAACTCGGCAAAACATCAACTTCTGTTGGTTTGATTTAAACCGTTGTCACAATCGCAAAGATGGTTTTTATTATTCCCTTTAAATAATGCGTTGCTAGAGCATTTCCCTGCAGATTTCTTGAGCTAAACTCTAAAAAATTAATTTTGCTTTTATTAGAAAGGCTTACAGCCATTCTCGCCAGCTCCATTTCCCCCCTTCCTTTTCTTTATTGCATCGTTTATTTATTGCCTCCATCAGGTTTGCTGAGGTTTTTTCCTTGTAATAATACACAGTATTACATTTTATTTTATAATTTACTTATGTCTGAAGATTGCATTCCGTTTTAAGCTTGTTAGCTTGATTAGATCAATTTGTATCGTTGCAGATTGCTTTGTATATCTGGGACAACGGGAAGGGCCCCCATCTCACTGCCGTTCCTCAATTGTGCACCGAGCCGAAGGACTCTCCTCTCGCTCAGGATTGTGCAACCTCTCTGAGCAAAGTGCCCCCAGTGTGTGTGAGTATCCACTCTGTGAGCAGATTAGTTTGATTGTCCTCGGATCCCAGGAAATGGAACAGAAGCAAAGTTAAATGACCTCATAAAATCAAAAGCAGCGTGCAGCTAGTTACAGGCAGCCATGTGATGATCTATTCTGTTCATCCTCCGTACCAATTTCCAGTCCAAGCAGCACCAACGTTTCAGAGAGAGGGTCAACCTTGCTTTTATAGGCCATTTAGTAAAGCACAATCCATTAACCGAAGACGACAGAAGTCTTGTTTTGTTTTGCCAAATTTAATTTAGTTGTCCGCCAAGAAATTATCCTCTGTTGCTAAGCAACACCCACCTGCATTGTTTCCAGGTTGTTGTTTTTTTTCCTTAAATTGTTTAAGCTTTTTAGTATTAATTTATATTAATTAGGACAGGTTTTTAAAAAGAAGACGTAATCTGACCACTGTTTGTTTCATTTATTGTTAACGAACCAAGGACATTAAAATTAAAAAGTAAATTTTAGGGGAAAGTAGTTTCTGTTTCTTAATCTCATTTGCTCATTTTTGACATTATATGATATTTACTACATTCAATGTGACATAATAAATTTGTCTTATGTTAACTGACAATTTTCACCACCACCAAAGGCAGCATGGTGGCTTAGTGGTACACAGTTGCCTCACAGCATAAACGTTATGGGTTCAACCCTGGTTTGGCCCTAGAGTCTTTTTGTGTGGAGTCTGCTTGCTCCTTCATGTTTGCGTGGGTTTTCTCCAGGTACAGTAGTTCCTCGCTACTTCGTGGTTCGAAATTCGCGGACTCGCTGCTTCGCAATTTTTCAACGATTGTCAACTTTAATATTACTCACATGATTGGAACGTTATGGGATATAAAGTTAATGGAAAGAAAAACGGATAGGCGCCATTTTGTAGTTTTCTTTCAATAAACCTATACTGTAACTCCAATTAAAAGAACTGCACTACCCAGAAGCCAACAGTGCTTCCAGCTGCTGCTTTCTGCCGAAATGGAGGGAAAGTTTTGCAACGCAAATCTACACTATCTATTAATCTATTAAGGTCACAGAACTGGCAGGAAAGTCGCAAATAATCCTAAAGCTTCCTGAAGCTCAATTATCCACGTGCACATCAACCTGGACGGGGCGGTGGGCTCCGTCACTGTAGGGTAGGTCTGCAGAACCGGAACCAAGCCCAACCAGAACCAAGCCCAACCAGAACTGAGCTGCTGATCTGCAGAGCTGGTGATTAAAATTTTTCAGTACTGTACAGTACATATACATATGTTGTTAAAATTACATAGGTTTGAGTTTAGATCATTGCAAGAGTGTGGGAAGGGTTTATAAAGCCTTAAAAAGTATGTAAATACTAAAATAAGCATAATGTTCCTTTTCGCCTATCACGGGTGTTTGGAACATAACCCCTGTGATAATTGAGGTTACTACTGTGCTGTACTTCGGTCTCCTCCCACAGTCCAAAAGCATGTATGTTAGGCCTCCTTCAGGCCCAGGCCTCCCTTGAAAAGAGATCTGTTAGTTCAGTGTGATTTGCCTGATTAAAAAAAAGATAATAAAAAAAGGTGAAAGGGCAATGTATGTACAGTATCTGGGTTCATTTGCCTGCTGTTTTAGCAAAAATATCTGATGATCCACTGGACAGATGTACAACTACAACTGATTAACTTTTGAAGTCAACCTCACCCAAGATGGCCAACAACTAAGCAACCTTGGAACACACAAAAATGGCTGTATCTCAGCCAGTTTTACAGATATAGAGCTAAAAGATAAGATAAGATAGAACTTTATTGATCTGATCTCACAAGCAATTGTTGCTGTAAAAGATTGTTGTGGTTGTAGATGAATGGAAGCACTATACATTGCACATCTTTGCTTAAAACTTTGGCATAAGCACCATCTGTTAGCAAAATATTTCATGATCTACTGGACAGATTTTAATTCAGTTCCCAATAAATAATCATTGGATGTAAGCCTACATGTCACACATCATCTTTTGGAGTCACAGTTTGTTCAGTTTCTGATTGTGTACAGATTATTTTTTCAAAGTGAGGATTTTTTTTTTCCCGTAAGCATCTCAGACGTAGTGAACATGAGCAAAGAACTATACAGTCAGCTCCAATTTCTGCTGCAGCTTCAGAAGCAGAGCTATTCAGTGCAAGTACGTGTACCCAAAATTATAGAAGGTGCTGTACTTTTATTCTTAAAAAAGAGGATATTTCAAATTAAGTTTCATGTATGTTATTATTATTATTATTATTATTATTATTATTATTAACATTTATTCAATAAAGAAAACCCCACTGAGCTTACAGATCTCTTCTGCAAGGGAGGCTGTGCCTGAACGCAGCCTAACATGCATGTTTTTATACTGTGGGAGGAAACCAGAGTTCCTAGAGAAAATCCATGCAAACACAAAGAGAACATGCAAACTCCACATAGAAAGACTCCAGGTCCAAACTGGGGTTTGAACCCAGGAGCATTTTGCTGTGATGCAACGATGCTAGCACTAAGCCATCATGCTGTCAGATCAAAGTTCAGGTCAGTGTTTTCCTATGTAGCTTATTTTATGCATTGACATCCTCCAACCCTCCATAAAATAATGTGTGATGTTGTGAAGACGAGTAAATGTTTTGACTGGGTGAAATAAGTTATATTAGGGATGCAAGAACTGAGCTGAAGGTGTCCCTATTCTAATTTTTCATCCTCCCCTTTGAGACACTTTTGACAGAAAAGAAAAGTTCCATCCAAACTACGTTTGTTATTCAGATCACACATACTGAATGTACTATTTTAGTCTCCAACTTGATTCCTGGCTGTTATTCCTCTCCAATTTATTCCTCTCCAATTTATTGGCATCGCTGTCCTCATAAGAACACTTATTTTATACAACTCGAGCATACAGCATAGAAACACTGACGTCACAAATTTAACAACTATTCTGGGGGAAGTTTCGAACAGAAGGTGGCATATCATAATTGGATTTTTTTTTTTTTCTCACAATAGTTGCATGGCAAATTGCCAACTGCAGCCAGAACCACATCTGGCCTCAGTGCCAACAAAAGAGTCAAGAGTCTCAGGAGACTGATTCCAGGAGGCGGAGGGCAACATTCAGTGTAGGAACGGCAGTAAAGCACATCCTTTGTACATTAGGCAATAACCTGACACAGTAAACCCATAGCTGGAATGTACCGTAGCCTCCATAAGGTTCTGAGGTCTTACAAAATGTTTTCACCGATGAGCTCAATCTTGAAAGATATGTAGTATTTTTTTTTATTTTGTCTGCCTTACAGTCCTTTAATGTGAGCAAAGCCAGATGCTGTGCATGGTCAGTGTTTGCAGATTCTGGTGCGTTAGAGTAAATATGTGGGCATTTAACAACATGTGGCCAATTATGCAGCTGTGAATGCCTTAGCAAACCCTTCTGAATGGACTTCTATAAGTATCTATTGTATGTTTTAATATGTTTAGGGTCATTATTTTGTCATAGATGCTTTTTTCACTCACAGCTTGGTAACATTTGATGTTTCTGTTCAGAGGTGAATCCATTAATGAAGCCAGTGGGGTTTTTTTGTTGTTGTTTTTTTACATTACAGAGTCCCTCGCTACTTCGCTGTTTGTTTTTCACGGACTCGCTCTATCGTGGTTTTTCAAAGTAAGATTGGACACGACACAATTCGCTGATTGATGGATGAGCCGCACGATCGGCATGGAATTTTTATGTAAAATAAATTATTTTAAATTATTCAGCACCTGCTGCACCTGTGTGCAGCCCACAGCTGCAGGAGAAGCTTCCTCCTGCAGCATGTCAGATCTCCGCTCTGCAACGGAGAAGCGGGCGTGACCGAGAGCGCTGGCAGGTGGCAGAGAGCAGTGGAGGCAGAGAGCAGTGGAGGTAGAGAGCAGCTGGAGGCATAGAGCTGAGATCATGACATGCAGTGCTCTTTTAGAGCGTTTAGAGTTTAGAAAATTGTTAGGGACATTATAAGATTGTGGGAAGGGTTTATAATATACTTGTATTTAAATGCTAAATTAAACTACTACTTACTACTACTACTACTACTACTACTACTTGTGTACATAATTTCCTTCCATCTCATGCACCACGTGAGATGATAATGACAATAACGTTTACTACTTGAACTTGGACTACTGTATCCCTATTTTGTAGTTTTTCACTTATAGTGGGGGGGTGGGGGTGTCCCAAACCCTCGCGATAAACGAGGGACTACTGTACATTACATTAAGCATAAACACATGACAAAACTGCTAAATGTTATCTTTGAGATCCAATTGCTTGAATTATTTTTTTTTTTTTTTCTTGTTGTAATGATGTAAAAAACTAAACAAAACAGCATCAGAGGTTTTGAAATTAATCATCAACATTTGATATCTAATTAAGTAATAAATTCTGAATTGGTCAAACATGCAGTGTGGTTATCAGCCTTGGTCTGACTTTAACTAAAGACAGTGCTAAAAATAACTCCTGACATTCAACATTATCTGAAATCCAAATGTTTTCAAGAATACAATTTAATATAGAACCTGTGGTTTTAATAGATCTGGTTTGTTCATTGTTTGATTTTCGTTCCAGGGGGTGCCTGCAAAAAAAGATGATTTATTTGTCGCTGTGAAAACATGCAGAAAGTTTCACAGTGAAAGAGGTGAGTCACTCTCCCACTCCCATAAATTCATTCAATTTCACTGTAAACACATTTTTGTCCTGCTGCTTCTGGGTAATGGATTTGTTTCACCTTTGACATTCAACGTTTTATAAGTGCCTTTCCTTATTATGCTAAAATCTTTGACTAATTTATTCCACCCTGATGTCTAAAAGGGTTTATTAGTGTTGAAGGAAAAAAAATACTGTGAAGTGTTGAATTCTGTGCTTCACTTAAAGCTGTAAGTGTAGAGCAGCAGCAAACAACGACCAATATGAAGCTTTTCACAGCAGGCCTGCTGCTCTTTTAACTTGATGAAAATGCTGTAGGTTAAGTCAACAGATCAAATGGCAGATTAATTACAGAGGGCTCAGATTAATAGTGTGCTGAATGTAAAGGGCGGTCCGCAAGTGTAGTTAAACTAATTACCTCTAATTACTGTTTCATCTTCAACGCTGCTTTTACCATATACAAATATAAGCTAAATATAAAAGTTTTTTTTAAGTTTTATTCATATATATATATGTATATATATATATATATACATATATATATATG